GAAAGGATTAAAAAAATTGAATAATTACATCCATCCAGATCAAAATGGATTTCTACCAGGACGACAGATAAAAAATAATATGAGGATAATAACGAATACTTTAGAATTTTATGAAATGCATCCTGAAAGACAAGCTACACTGTTTTTTCTTGATGCCCAGAAGGCATTTGATAATCTGAATTGGAAGTTTATTATAACACAATTGTACTATATGGATTTTGGGACAAAATTCGGAAAGATGGTTGAGAAAATATATACTAAACAAACAGCTAGGGTAACTATAAATGATGAAATGACAGAAAAAATTGATATAACCAAAGGAGTAAGACAAGGATGCCCACTCTCCCCTCTTCTATTTATTTTATCATTAGAAATACTCCTGACAAAAATCAGAGAGGACCAAGAAATAAAGGGTTTAAAAATTAAGAAGGAAGAATATGAGATCCAAGCCTTCGCTGATGATTTGGTATTTATTTTGGAAGATCCATTAGAAACCGGCCTTAAATTGATTCAAAAAATAGAAGAATTTGGTGAGGTAGCCGGACTTAAGATTAATAAGAATAAATCCAAATTAATAACCAAAAATCTTACAAAGGCATAGGAAAGTGAACGGGAAGATTAAACAAAGATAAGTATAAGTAAGAAAATAAAATATTTAGGGATCTGGCTTACAGCAAAGTGTTCCTCAATCAAGGCTGATAATTATGATAAAATATTACACCAGATAAAAAAAGATTAGAAAATTAGGAAAATCTACAAATTACATTTTTAGGGAGGACGGCTACAGTCAAAATGAATATATTGCCAAAAATATTATTTCTGTTCCAAGTTATTCCAATAAAATTAGGGAAAACATTCTTTCAAGAATTAAATAAATTGGTCATTAAATTTATATGGCAAAGGAAAAAACCCAGGATTAAATTAAAACTCTTGCAAGATATGAAAGATAAAGGGGAATTGGCGTTATCAGAGTGGGAAACACTACCAAGCATCGAGCCTAACTTGACTAAAAGAATGGATGGAATTGAACAATACCAGAGTTTTAACAATAGAAGGACATGACTTGCAAGCGGGGTGGCATGCATTCCTATGGGACGAAAAATACAAAATACACAGATACTTTCAAAGACACATAGTTAGGAATGCATTGTTACAGACTTGGGAAAAAATAAAACAAAAACATTAGATAAGAATTCCAATGTGGTTATCCCCAACAGAAGCTCTGAAACACCCAAACCTACTGGATATATAGTAAATAAGATAATTAGATACAAGGAATTAGTAAATGAACAGGGAAATCTGAAAACAAAACAAGAATTGGAACAAGATATAGGCAGAAAGATTGACTGGTGGACATTTTCACAAATTCAATCCAAATATACAGAGGATAAAAAATTATATGAAATACAAAAAGAGCCGCAAGAATTGGATAAAATTATACATGGAACAGAAATAAAATTAATTAGCAATTTATACAAATACCTATTGAGATATAAAATGGAAGACGAGGTTGTCAAAGATACAACGATTAGATGAACCAAAAATTTTGGATATAATATAGAATTGGAGAAATGGGAAAAATATGGGAAATAAACATAAAATTGACTATGTCAGCGGCATTCAAGGAAAACCAGTTGAAGATATTCTACAGATGGCATCTTCCACCAGCAAAGTTTGCCAAGATGTTCCAGAACAATTTGCCAACATGTTGGAATTGTAAAAAAAGTACATGGAACATATTATCATTTATGGTGGACATGCCCAGTTGCGAAAAAATACTGGACTAAAATAAGAAGATGGATCAAAGAAATAATAGATCAACCCGTAGACTGGAAACTAGAGATCTTTTTGCTGGGTATTTTAAACAGAAAATATAGTAAAGAAATACGGTATTTAATTCTACATATAATATAATTCTACAGCAAGAATAGCATACGCACAGTTCTGGAAAAATGAGAATATACCATCAGAGGAAGAAGTGATAAAGAAAATCCTGGACTGTGCTGAGATGAATAAATTAACAAAAGAGATAAAAGAAAAGGAAGACACAGAGTACTATTTAATATGGAATAAGTGGTACGATTGGTTAGAGACTAGAAATAATAGAGGAGAATAAATGTGGAAAGGTCAAAAGTGGAAAATGTGTGTATAATAATGTATAGTAATAATAATATGTATTATTTTTAGTAAGAAGTATAGTATGAAGGAAGAAAAATGCAAACAAGAAACAACAAGACAACAAGGACAAATATATCTAAAGAAGAATAAGGGGGGGAAATGTAAATAATAGATTACCGTTACGAAATTGCTGTTAAAAAAAAGGAGGAGCACACACTGTGTGTGTATGTGTGTTATGTTTTGTTTTGTCTTGTTTTGTTGGTTTAAAAAATAAAAAATTAAATTAAAAAAAAGAGCCATCATGAAAAGAATTCCAGGAAAAATCCCTGGACTATTACAACCAGTTGTGGACCCTTCCGAGCCATGGGAAGAAATTGGTATGGATTTTATAGTGGAGTTACCTGAAAGTAGGGGAAATACAGTGATTTGGACTGTGATAGATCTTTTTTCGAAGCAGGCTCATTTCATCATCTGCAAAGGACTCCCGTCAGTTCAGAAACTAACCAAGATGTTTCTTAAGCACATTTACAGGCTGCATGGTGCGCCAAAGTGGATAATCTCAGAATGAGGGGAACAATTTATGGCCAAGTTCTGGAGGGGTTTCCTCAAGTTAATTGGCTCATTGCAAGGACTGTCATTGGCTTTTCACCCATCTACGAATAGGGCAGCTGAAAAGGCAAACTCAGTGGTGGAGCAGTACCTTAGATGCTATGTGGATTATCAGCAAATGAACTGGACTGACATCCTCCCTTTCACAGAGGTGGCTTACAATAACTCTGTTCACAGCAGCACCGGTTTTACATCTTTTAAAGTTGCCACAGGAAAATAATTCAACCCAATACCTGAATATCTTCAGGAACCTTCTGCTTCCAAAATGCTTGACCAGTGGGTGAAGGGGTAGGAGAAGGTTTGGGACAAAATGAAAATCGCTCTGAAAAAGGCTTCTGAGACGTATAAAAAACAAGCAGATAAATGAGGGCTCCCCAAAGGTCATTCCAGGTTGGGAAAAAGTTTACTTATCCACAAAATATATACGACTTATGTTGCCTAGTAAGAGGTTGGGACCGAAGTATCTAGGTCCCTTCTCCATCGTAAGAATCATTAACGCAGTCACGGTGGAGTTAAAGCTTCCCAGACTCTTATGGAAAGTCCACCCTGTGTTCCATTGTAGCCTACTGAATCCTTTTCGAGGTTTTACCTTAGGACCTCCCCCTAAGAAGGCACCTGGCTCTCTGGTAGTAGCTGGACAGACCCATTATGAAGTGAAGCTTATTCTTGATTCTAGACTTTTAAAGGGAAAATCACAGTACTTAGTGCAGTGGAAAGGATATCCATTGTCTAAAGCTACATGGATAAAATCTAGTGATGTAAAAGCTGACAGGCTCATTAGTAAATTCTATGAAAAGCACCCTAATAAACTGAGAGGCAACCCTAACCTATGATTTTGTTTGAATTGCAGGATTTATCCTTTTTGTAAAGGGGGGCCAGATGTCAATGCTGTAAACATTAGATATTCCTGCTCTGACAACTGATGAAAATTGCAGCCATTTTCTCTTTGCTTTGAACATGCTTTTTCTGGTATTTAGAAATCATGTGCAGAAGTGTGTGGGGGGGTGTTTGGGATAAATGCTCAAGCTCAGCTACCCATAATAATAATGCTGCTTTGTGGGAACCCAAGGACAAACTGATAACATTTTGGCGGGCTGAGGAGCTGGGGAGAAAGCCCGCATTTTAGACTAATTGGAGAATGTGATTTATGACAACTTATTGGGGGTGGGAATTGCACTTTGTTACTTTGTATCCGGGGAAAGGGAATTTAGTTTTTGGGTTCAAACTATGTAGTGCCGATACTTTGTTTCCTGAATAAAATGTTCTTTAAGGAAGAATTTTTGCCTTGAAGTTCTTTTGATGGGTTTCATCTATTGGAATCATGATATTGGGTCCTTATAGCAAACTTAGATATCCTATCTGAATTCAGACTCTTTCAATTTACTCTTTGTTGGCATTAAGCTCAATAGCCAATAGTATACCAATAAACTGATGTTAATTAAATATCTGTAGTTTGGGAAAAATTGAAATGTTCAGTATTTTTTAAAACAGCAGTAAAAAAACAGAGTGGATCATCCATATATTAGTCATTGCAAAAATGACCTTTTTATTTGCTGGTTCATCAGTGTCCACTGATTATATGAACTGGTCATATAGCTTTCAAACTGTGATGACAGTGTTATTGGTGTATGCCAAGGCTGACCACTAGAAATAGCCATTTTGCTTCAAGTCTCCCAGAGAATAAGTTCATTGTCTCTAAGAAACAGATTTTTCAGAGATTCCACCAATGCTAATTCTTAAGTCCACCAGAACTAAGATATCTAGCCTATTACTTTTTCTGTATTGTACCAGCATTCCTAGAAAGATGGAGAGCAGAGGAGTCAATGAGTCAAGGAATCAATTATGTGAAACATAATGATAAAAGAGAGAACAACAGAGTTCTCTGATGCCAGAGTTTTGTTTTAAAAATACAACCTACCTTCCTAAAGAATATTTTGCTGACTTTCAAAATAGAGGTCAGAGTAAAGAATGTCTTTATTTTTCTACCAAGCTTCACAATCGCTATCAATCGATTGATGCCTCACTTTTGTTTCCCAAAAATCAAAGTGAAAGAAAATGCCTTGAGTGGAAATCAAAAGTCTTTGAGATATAGCAGAAAGCTTGCTATGCAATATTAGTACCCAAAGGCAGCTCCCAATTCTTTGCAATAGCAACACAATTTCATCTTGAATTTTTTAAAAAACTGAGTCTTAGGATTTAAATCATAGCAAATTTTTCTACGCAAATAAAATAGTAATGGATTGAAGTTGGTCATTTATGTCCTGGTTTCATACCTGAAAATTTCATGGTGCTTGAGGCAGTAATAAGCTAGTATTTCTTCAGAAGGCCAGATACCTATAAAAAAAAAACCAAGAACGAAGTAATATTTTAAGGCATATTTTTATATCTCCATAAGTTGATCTTATATTGGATTTTTAAACATAGTTCAGAACACAAAAGGTCAAAGGACATGCCCACCTCAAGTAGGATAGCTTGATGGAAGGGATAAAAAAAACCCAAGACGATGATGATCAAAGCCCTACCCATTTTCACCATGTACTGTGCATATGTATTGCATGTTAAAAAGGGATGTGGCTTCCATCATGTATAGATGCAACTGCCTCTCATATAAAGTATCAATATTTCTTTTAATAACAGCCAGAGATGGGCAATTTTGCCAATTCTTCAGTGTTACTGAAGGTTGCTCTATTTTAATCCTGAAGTCTGTTTTTGCTAAAACGATTTTTAAATTTTTATATTTTATTTCACTTGAGACTTCCCCCACTTTATATTATCAGCATGTATATATATAGTGGATAGAGATAAAGAAAATTCACTATTATAGAAGAGTTTTACTGAAGAATGCACAACCTTATAATCAAGAAAAGACCAGGAAAAGATATTTTGATATCATACCATTCATCCTTCTTTACCAGAGTGTTATAATTATACAGTTCTGTATATAGTATATTATTTTTATATAGTCCACATGTATAATTCTATAATCATTTTTAGGATTTCCTAATTCATATTTGCACATAAATCAAGGAGAAAGAATTGATGGAAATAGACAACTACAATACGTCTATAGAATAAAAAATGCACTAAGTAGTATTCTAATGTAACCTTGAAAATAAAAGATAACTAAAAAATAAATAAATAAATTTATAACTCCAAAACCCAGGGAAAAGAGGTGGGGTGGGTGTTATTGGATAGTGAGAAGGTAGTTAATCACCTGAACATAGAGCACTGAGTACCAGGCAGAAATGTCCAGGGACCGTGACAATGGGAAGGTTATGGGATTGACTTCCCGATTGATCTGGGGAGGATTGGCATGACAGAGAGGATATGATAAACTGGGATAATCCCTTATTCCCCCACTCCCAGTCTCATGTTTCCCATTTGAGACAGAGTAAACAGCAACACTGCCAGTAAACCCAGCCCCACAAAGCATTTCACCAAAATCCAAACTGAATTCAGATCTTAGATCCAGAAATCACCTCCAACTGAATCTTTGGAAGGCAAAGATGAAACACAAGAGTTATCACTGATGAATAATAAATATGGTTTATGCTCAAGTCGCTTTAGTGTCCATAGACTCCAGTGTAATGTGTAAACGGCAAGATTGCTATTGTTTCCTTTGGTATAACTTGGGTCTGCTGCAGGGATGTAGCTCGGTCCTCCCACAAGGCCACTAGTCAATTTCTATTCCATTGCCATTCAGCATCAGTACCTGTCTACGCAAACGTCTGAGACACCAAGGGTGGGCAAACTTGAAGTTCCAGTCACAGTTCCAAAATGCCGAGAGAGCTAATTATTGCCTTATTAGTTTGGCTTTGTAGAAATCCCATGTTTTCTGACTTTAGCTCAGTTTCTTTGTGCTTCCTGGAAGAGCATGCAGGATGAGATTGCTGTAGTACTGACTGGAAAGGTTTCCTCTACAAACTTCTAAAATTCAAACTTAGGAGGAAGATGGAAGAAAAAGAGACATGAAAAATACCTCTTTATTTCTCTTTCACACATTTCCTGGGAGTTTCTCCTCCCCATCTTCTTCCACTGACATGGCATGACAATGTTTGATCATTGTTATAGTCTCTAACGCAGATATGATTTAAATACTGAAATATGTGAAAAGCAGTTGTGCATCAAAATCAAACCAAACTACTGCAAATTGCAGAGCTTCAAGGGTATCATATCTTATTAGACCAGCCAAGCTTGCAACAGTAGAAAAGCTGGTCTCTTGTATTTCAAAAAATATTTTGTGGATTATACTTTAACTTTTACAGTTAAATCCCACTTAAGTAATTGGCTAATTTAAAACCATATGGCACTCATTTCAAAATGAATATATTTAAACCAAATATATTCCAATTTATGTCAAATCAAACACATGGCATAAAAAGTCCATTTATTACCATTTATTATTCATACATTTCTATCACGTTTTCAAGAAAAGTCTTAAGTGTCTGCATTTATCCCTTTTCAATTAAGCTAAATTTTACCTTGGTGAAACATATTGTACAGTATATTGCACTTTGTACTACAAATTTTTGTCTTATTCTCATTGTAATCAAGTACATGTCATCCATGATCTTAGTAACATTCATTACCCTTTACTTGCATTTTACAGCCACCCCCTTTTTTTAATGATAGACTTTTTAATTCATGGTTTACACACTTCCTTTTTCATCTTTCCTCTCAGGACTGTTGAAGAACATCAGACTGGGTTTTCAATGGTTCTTGGGCAGTTTACTGAGTAGAGTTAATTAGGCTACCTATAACAATACGATAAAAATAGCAGCAGATTTGAAGGGAAAACAAAATATCAGCAGAACTGTCTCTGGAATCTAAAAAAAAAAAAAAAAAAGCTGTGCAGAGTGTTTATACGGCCTTCTGGGACACCTTCCCTGTCTCCTTCAAAAGGCTTTTCTACTTCCTCCTTTCCTTGGTCAATGAAACTAAGCTTGAGATCAATATTGTTTCTTCTTAGCCTTGTTCCTCATTCTCCTTTTGTCTCTTTATTGTTGTTAAATATAAAGTGCCTGAAGTGACAGACTTGCCTTAAAAACATCTTCCACTTCTTTGTAAGACATATATGTTAAATTATCTAATGACCAACATGCAAACTAAATAATTTAATATTAACACAAGCAGTTTTGCAAATACTGCCCATTTCTCCCACCTTGGCAATATTACATGGCTAGTGTATTGTGCAGAAAGGCAGCATATACACAATGACAATAGTGCATCAAGAAGCTATTGTGCTGTCAAAAAATACCAGCAGAGGGAAAAATGACTACATTTTGCTTGGAACTTGTATTTGCTGCCCCTGATACAATTCAGGTTAGTACTCAAGCCACATTAGTAGCTGTTGCTAATAACATTAGCAGGAAGATCATGGACAGGATCCTCTAAATCCCACCCAATTAAGTCGGGTACCAGCTATGTACACTGCTTCTTTCCATTATTCTGCAGGACTACAAGATGCTATGTCAGTATTAATTCCAAAAGCCGGCAGGTAAAAAGAACAGTGGTCAGGGGTCCCTTATAAACAGGTTTCAAATATGGAAGTGCAGAATGTTACCCAGTAAAGCATTAAAGAAGCAGCAAGACTACCTTTGTTAATTTGAGTAAAAGGAAAAGCTTCTCTTGCTTGAACAGGTAAGTAATCCTCTTTGATGGCTTTCAAAATAGTGATAAGCTTAACAATTCATGTGGAGGAGTTTGCACTTTGACTTCTACTCTGTTGAACTGACCTATATTTTGTAATATGCAGGGTTGGAATATATCTTTATATGAAGAACCTATTCAGATGAGAAATGATCTCATTCATCTCAAACACTGAATGCAGTCACAGCTTATGTAAAGTATTATAAGCTTTCATTGAAATCTGTGGGAGGACTAATAAACATTCCATTTCTTATTTAAATAAAAGATGTTTTAAAATACCCAACATTGTCCATGTTGTACCAGTGGTTCTAATCTAGATGAATGTAAATCAAGTCAATATGCTTTGACAGAAGCCTGTGTGGTTGTCATACTCACTCAGATGATTCTACTGCCATTAAATTGGAGTATGCAGCTGCAATAATCTCATATTCTTCTGTTTATTCCTGCCTTTATTTCCTCCTTCTTCTGTGGTCTCCCTACTGTCATTTTCTGTACTGTAATCCACTTCAAAAGAGAACAGGCCCTCTCATTCTTTGTAAAATGCCTGCACACTGATGACACTATATGAATAATGCTAATAGCTACTAAGAACAGAACTAGATACATGAGAAACATTGGGCTCTTAATCAGAAACCTCTTATAACTGCAGGGGATAAGGAGCAATTGCCCAACAAACAGTCATTGAGAAGGGGCTTTATTTTTTCTTAATCTATTTTCCCTTGCAAAAGTGCATCCCAGGTAATTTTGATTTTTTTTTTAACCCCATCCCTACCTGCCTCTGAAATCAAGAGGGAGACAAGCCTTACAAAAAGGAATTTGCAGTTTGTAAGAGAGATCAAGCAATATTCATTATAACCACCATTCTCCTCTTTTGCATTGTTCTCTAATATTCCATTTGATTTCAGCAAACATGATGTTGGGTCTAAGCATTTGTTTACATGCTCAAAATTAAGGTTGGTTGATTAATTAAAACCACAGCCATGACTTTATTGGATTACATTAAGAAGTCTACACATTTTCACTGAAATTTAAGAAAAATTGTAAACATATCAGACATTGCAATAAACTTCCATTTTCCATTTATGTTTCTTATTTAGATTTCTTTCTATGTGAAAAGCTTTCTGTAACACACAACTTCGTGTATTCCCTTCCCTGCGCATTTGATATTTCGGTTTTCCTCTCATTAATAAAATCACATTTCTATTTCTAAATGCAACTGTCATAAGTAGATGTATTGTAAAAACTTCACATGGATATAAAAATAATCACTCTTCCAATCAAAACACTGAAGAAAAAATGATACTGGGAGAAATTTTGACTATAAAATAAATTTGCAAAGATAACAAACAATACATTATTTATGTTCATATCTTATAAAGTTAAGATTTCTTTTAAAAAGGAATTGATATTTCAGGAAATGCTTAATAGCTCATTCAGGAAAAGGAAGGGGACATTGCTAATTGGTCTATTATAACTATTGTGTCCTTTCTTAAAGTAAATTATAACTGAAAAGATTTTATTACATAATGGTTTTAGACATAGTACTCTCACAGTTCTCCATTTTGTCTCCTTCTCTAATCCTCTGATAAACCCTTCTCTGCTGCAATGCCTCCTTGAATTACTACACTACATGGACTGTGAAATGTTTCCTTACACACCAATTGAAACAACCAGCAGCCAAAAAT